TTGTAGGTCAACTGCTTAGGAGGAGAATTTGTCTGATCAAACATTGAGTAACCTTTAGCAATTGAAAATCCTAGGAGCATGAGGAGGTGTCTTAAAGAAAATGGAAGGGAAAATTTTGGGATACAACAGTGATGATTATGTTTAGAATTTGAATTTAAGGAATGAACTTGTGAAATTATGATATTTTGAAATTTTGGAATTTTGTAGGTGTCGTGATTTGTTTTAGAGACTGGGTCATCTAGTTTGACTGGTTTAATAATTATACAATTTTGTTATAAATATCAGTTTATTAAACTAAGGAATCCAGTTTAATTAGATTTACTCATATAGTTTGACCAGTGACCCAGTACCCTCACTGATTTGAAAACTGTTTCAGTTTTTAAAACATTTTCCAAGAGAGTTATGGTGCCCCCTCTACGGGGGCCTTCACACTTATATAGATACAATCTTCAATGGACAAAAGCCTCCAGTCATAGCTCCTAAAACCCTTACAGTCGTCCAAGTCTCAAAAACCCGATCTCCTAATAGAATTCTGAAAATTGCCTTTTATAGTAGTCAAAATGCATTAAAAATCGCACAACAATTTACAAAAGTGTGTAAGAAAATGCGTTAGAAATTGCACACTGATTTGCAAAAGTGTATCACAATTTCTAGGTTTACAAATGTTCCAAATTTCTTCCTTTTCTCTTCTTTTAACAGTTTTGGTCTTAATCTCGCATATTATCAAATTTCACTCTAAAACCATACAATTCTTCACTAATTGCTACTATAAGCATAAGGAAATGCTGATAGAATTATGTGGTGATTAAGTGTCATAAGACGATGGGCAAAATAATATATGGAGGTGAAATTACATAATGACAAAAAACACTTACTTATAAACAAAGGAAAAAATGGATGTACTTGGGTGATTTCAAATTAAAAAATTAGCTAAAAATGACTCATCGGAGGAGAAAGAAAGAAGAAAATGAGTAAAAAATAAGATATACTTGAATGAGGTTTAAAAAAATTATATTATGAGAATATTCTGAATATTTTTTTTTTATATTTGATTCTTTCTTTTTTCTCAGAATTCGAAAACACTAAAATGGAATATGTTTAATACGGTGTTAAATTTTAATGTTCAGATATTAGTGTTATAGCATATATCATATGGATCTTTAAATATAAAAATATTTTGGGAAATTTTATAATCCCTTTCAAAAGATTATTTTTAAATATGTTAATTATAATTATTTAACCTATTTTTCTATAATTTAAATAAATATTATGATGCAAACATAAATAAACTATTTTTTTAAGGATAAACATGTAAAACAACATCACATATAAATAAATTTATTACTACTTCATATTAAGCATGACAACCTAATTTACAAGTGCCTAAATTTATCTCGACTTTGACGAAAAATCTCCTTTTTAAATAAATATATGAGGCATATTTTCTCCAATTTTCAAAATTTAGGTCGAGGGGATATGGTGATATGGGGACACAAATTCCAACTATGATGGAAAACAAATGCGTGCTTTGGGAAGGTGGTGTAAGGAGAGAGAGTGAGGAGATGAAATTTGTCATAGTCTCGTTGCCAACCATAATCTTAGTAGCCATAGGAACATGAACTTTCCAATTAAAATGTTGGTTTGATTAAACCCTCGCAGGTTGACTTGGTGGTGAAGACTTAAAATTTAAGAGTGCACTTTTATTAAGGTCTCTGATTTGAACCCCTCTTGCTAATGAACAATGAGACCAGTCTCTAAAATTAGTCATTCCTTATATCAGATACCAAGTTTTCAAAAGAAAATAATCGATTTGATTGAGTTATTACGACCAATGTTGAACTCAAGATATCTTATTTAACCACGAACTGATCTTATTTTACGATCTTCTTCTCTTTTTTTTATCATGTAATAAATTCTCTATTATGCATTAGTTGTTGCTCGAAAATGCACTACCACTCCAATGGCGAGGACTTCAATTATGACTAGAGTCATCATGCCACTAATTGAAAGTTTGTAATTGTTTACAACAACCAATTGATGGTCATTATTTCCTATTGAGCTATTTCCATTTAGGTTTCTCATAAATCTGGGCTTAATTCTAATATTTCCCAGATCGTCGTCATTGGAATGAATAAGGGAATATGCATTAATGCTTTACAACTTCTCACTCCATCGAGGACTAGGTCGTTATATTTGTCTCCTAGATCTTGTGTAGGTCCCTCCTTTGTCTGTGTTAATTTCCCCGCCATTTGTTTCCCGCGCTTCATGCTTGCACCCCGCGTAGACTTCCACATGAAGATTAGAGTTCACACCATTGTTATCAGTTTCAAACAACACAAAGTAAAAAAAAACATTGAGTGCATAAGTTTGCCACGTTTAAAGCATTAAGTGTTGCGTCTTTCATACTTACCTTATTTATAAACCTTATGTCAGGTCTTCAATGGCTCTCTAATTTCTACGCAGACTTTGACACCCAAACTCGCCATATGTTAGTATTTTTGCTAGAATCATATTTTATAAGTCTATAGGGCAAAACATCTGAGTATAATCTAACATCATTTATCATAAATCTAATTGATAGATTGTGTACTTAAATTTAAAAGATTGTGAGTCTGAATAACGTTTTGATGAAATGCGCACAGAACATCATTATCAAAATATCAGATATCATTATCCTTGAGTTCGTGCGAAGTAAAAATAAGACAACTCAAACTCAAAGTAAACAATTTGATCATTCAAAAGACCAATAACAATAAGCCAAAATTCTTACAAAACTCAAACCAATATTAGAGAAAATAAAAACAACTTTTAATCTTGATGAGAAAAATAAATTGAGACGAGAAATAAAAGTAATGCATTTTGCTGAACCGTGAGACCGGGCAAACCGAGAGTATATAAACCGCTGCCAGTCATTTGCCGTGTTGCCGTGTTGCTCTCCTTTTCACATAACCACAATTCCGATCCGATACAATGACGGAGGCGAAGCTTCCTTCCGTCACTTCTCTGTGCATCGATAATCTCAAACTATAACTTGTCCTATAGATTCGTTTTCTCTTAATTTTTTTGTATTGTTTAGAGGCTGTGAAGTTTATGAAATATTTTAACCTAAGTTTTGAAATTGTTTCAGGTGATGATGATGATGATGTTGTTACAATTTCCGTCTTCACTTGTAAGATCATTTCTCATTCTCTCATTGGTTGTAATTAACTCAATTTTGGTTAATTATTGTATATCTTAATCTTAATTCTGAACTATTATGAGAAAGTTAGGACTTAATAATGAATCGCTAATAGTGTTGTAATGAAATTGAATTTTAGGGATCTCAATCTTATGATATTGGTTCTTCTTTGGTCAGCCAGGACTAATGTGATTTGATATTTTTGATTTTAGGGATCTTTCTGAAATTTTGTTACCAAATTGTCTTACCTTTACAGTTTTAGGGCTAAATTGGTGATTTCGGTTGATTGGTGATATTTGTGTGTGTTTTGAGTACTAATTCTTATCTTTTTCATTCTTATACTATTTAGTGATCGAACATGCTAATTGATCATTGAAGTTGTAACCGTTGGTCAAAATAGTCTTTAGCTTTTGAGAATTGACAAATACATCAGTGAAATTGTAAAATGTTGTTTAAAATAATCACTATCATCTTTTATCGTTAGAGACTATGATGTAACAAGTTAGTTGGGTATGTGGTCCCTCCAAGTTTATCCCACATCTAGGTTACCATACTAGATTCTAATTTGTCTATGAAATGGAATGGAGTGGTAAATAATGTGATTCAATTGTTTGAATTTGTAAATAAGGGATGGAATGGAGTGGAACGTGATGGAATTCATTTCATCTCATTCCGTCCAATCTTTCATTTTTTTTTATTTACATCCGATTTGGGGTGTATGCAATGGAATGAAATATTATTAATAAAATACCCAAATAATAGAGTGATATCTATATTTCATTCAGTTATATTCCATTTTGTTCTGCTCCGTTCTGTTCCATCAATCCAAGCATAGCCTTAAAGACTAACTTGCCAATAATTAGCCCTTGCACGATTAGAGTTACTAATAAATTTGTCTCCGAGTTGATGTGAATAATTAAAATTCATAGATAATAGACAAACTAATCCCTAGTGAAGTGACATTTATTTGTGATCAATTAATGTGACATGTCTACTTATCATGCCAACTCATAGCCTCGGACGGAAAATGTTAACATAGAGACTATTTTGAATGATATTTTACTATCTCAAGGATGTATTTGGTGATTCAGAAATATAAAGAAACTAGTTTGACCGATGCTTAAAATTTTGAGGACTATTAGCCTGTTTAAGTCACTATTGAGTTTTGCGTGGATAGCAGGAGAGTTTATTAGTAGTAATCAGTTCTTTGTTAGCTGCTGATGTTATCTTTATGCTCTTTGTGTAGATATCAACATCTCAATACTTATTATTGGAACAGGCCATTCCAGGATCTGACTAAGGAAGATTTTTCGACTCAACGAACAAGAAAATGTTCAAGGTGAGAATTTCATACTCGTCTGGCTTGTGCAAATACATTTGAATGTTGTTCTTGTTGGGTTATAAATTTGTGAATGGAATCTTGTAATTCTAGGAATTGGAATCTAAATAGAGCATGGCAGAAGTCGCTTGAGTTGCGATGACCTAATCTCACTCATCAGATCCAACCAACTGACTGTCGAAAAGTATACCAGGAGTCCCATGTGCAAAAATTGTTTACACTATAATGCATTGTAATTATACTATTATGTCTATCACTTGATACTGGTTTATCTCAATTTATATTTTTCTATAATCTACTTGAAATAACAGTTGTTTGGATGAAGCAGCAGAGATAACACTAATCACATCTTTTAAAGAATGTATTGGCGACATAAAGGTTTCTGGTACTATGCTAAGTTGCTTTCTCCGTCGTGAAAATTTCCAACGTGAAGTGCCTTTTTAGGAAATTTGACTCGGTTAGGAATTGTTAGAGATGTAGCTAATGAGAAACCCTAAGATGATCTTGCCATTTAAGCAGTGTTATCAAATTGCGGCGCCATGGCCACTATTGTGGATATACATGACGGTTTTTGGACTCGCCGCAATGGTAAATATCAGCCGATATTGCGGGTTTTCTGCCGTAATCCGCTATAACAGTCCAGCCAAGCGGTCGTTATGGCGGGATTTTTGCTCCTGTTATGGACCGCCATCCGTCACTGACAACATTGCATTTGAGAAGCATGCAGACCTTCAACATTTTGCAGTCAAGGGAATTTTTCCTATACTTTTTCCTATTTTCTTCTATTAAATCCTAAATTTCTCTTAATTTAATTTTCAAATAATTTTTCGCTAACTTTTATAAATCAATGTTATCATTAATATATTTAAAAGCACTTTTAACTAGTTTTATAATTTTCATGATCAGGTTCTATATTTTTCACTCATCAAATTACATCTTTTGAAATAGATTGAGCCGTAGATACCAATGCGTAGATTATTGCATTACTAATCAAAAGCAATGTATATGTTCTTCAATGAGATGTGTATTTTTTTTCCATCAGTCTCTTTTTTATACTCATTCCTTTCTCACTAATTTTTTTAAGTATAGTTTTGGTAAATTTTATTTCATTAGATCTATCCAATATATGTGTTGTTGTCCTTAATATTTGTATGGTGTCGATATAATTGTGATTTATTTGAAAAGATTTTTTTTGAACGGCTATTTGAAAAGATGTTTGAAAGTGAAGACTATTTGTCATCTTCCAAGGATTGCTTTGAAATTCTACCATAAGGTAATATCTAAATATCTTTTTTCCACTTTTATTTTATTTGAGCTATGCAATTTTTCTGTTACTGTCTTAAATATTACCATTATGTCAATATTAATTTTTTGGACAACTTAATAGTTAGAAAAATTATGGATTACATCTGAAATATGCCGAGATGAAGAAACTAATGTGTAGATATCACAACAAATGTTAAGGTTTTTCAATGAGGTATGTATTTCTTTCACTAATCTTATTTTCAACACCGTAGTTAATATATTTAGAATAACAATTACATTATTAACTATTAGAAATTATAGAAAAAATTTCGAGTAGAAATTAATTTTAAATATATTCATATTTAGGGCTGTCTAAATATCTGTTTAGAACCAACCCGAACCATGAACTGAACCAAACCACTTTTAAAATAACTGTTATTTGGGAACCAAACTGTGTTTTAACACTGCATCTCACTAACCAAACTTTCAATGTCTCCGGTTCGGTGAACTATTACTAACAGTGAATCTATCCATCATCGACAACTCAACAGAAATAAAATATAGTGCACCAAACCACTGAGTCAGTTTGGTTTGGTTAAGGTGAAATTGTTGCAGTTTCTAGTCATATTACTGCAACAATATTGAAATATCTTTATCACAAAATTGTTGCAATTGGTTTGGTTAAGGTGAAATTGTTGCAGTTTCTAGTCATATTACTGCAACAATATTGGTTTGGTTAAGGTGAAATTGTTGCAGAAATATAAAACATCTTTATCACAAAATTGAAATATCTTTTCTGTAAAAATATTTTAGTCAAACCCAGCACGGGTTAAATATCTAGTAATAAATAGTGATATACAAATTAAAAAACTACAATCTCAATGGACATATTACTCCACTGGCAGAAACTATGTGAAACCAGTAACCAACCTAGTTTATAAATTTTCTACATTTTGGGGTTCTGCAGCGACAGGGAACCTTTTGTTCTTCCGGCTCGTCTTTATTAAACAAGTAGTCATATCTGTGGCAACATTGAAATGGAAAAGAAGAAGTCAGAAAAAAACTTAATACCTGTACCAGAAAAAATACCATGACAGAGCCCAATATGCAAGATTGTTTGCATGCATAACACATATAAAAAAATATATACATGAAACCGTACGTTAGTTCTTCACCAGCAGAAACATTGGTTTTGGCAATAAGAACAATCACGCTCTCCTGATCGCTCAAACTCATAATCCTTGCAAAGCAGTTTGGCATGCACTGCATCAATCACAATGATTCATTATTTTTATCAGAAACACAACATTTGTAATGTAAAACTAACATTTGTTCCATTCTTTTGCATTGCAGAGGAAATGAAGTACTAAAAAACCAAGATAGGATTAAGTAGAAACAACTTACAGAATGGTTTATAATACGTGAAATGTTTCCCTTGTTTGTTGCATCTATTACCACTTCTTTACTTATCTTGAACAGCTGCATAATATATTTCATTTGGTATTAAGATCAAAAGTATAATGAATCCAAATGAAACATGATAGAGTTTTTCATGACCCTGTGAAATATATACTACCTGATTTATTTTGCTTTGCAAAACAAACATCAGTTTTGAAACTTCGGATTTTGGATTGAGTTAGAAATCATTCTTTTTTAAAAGCAAACAGATATCAATTAACAGAAAACATGGAATTCATACAAACATTTTGATAAACATGGTAAGGGATACTTCCCACCCATGTTCAGACCCCAGATTTCTAGCTAGACCAACAAGCTTATGAGCAGCAGCATTCTTGCACCTTCTAACACTAAGCACAAATGCACTTTCCTACTGAGACAAGAGCTCCTCACGGACAAGGACAAACAGATCAATATAGCTGCAAGTTTTAGGGATTTATTTGTGCAATTAACCCCTTCAGCATCAGATTCAATAATTACTCTGTTGAGGTTGCGGGGCACTACCTTGTGCCCAAGGTTTCAATTAGAACAGGGGACAGCTCTGCTCTTTCAAACTTTGTGGCAACAAAGTTGACTTGACCTTCAAAATTACAATCTCGAACTACCCAACCTGAACAAGTGTTTTCAAAACAGCCTGCACCTACATTTATCTTTGCTGGACTTAGTTATCTTGAGATTGGGTGAGGGGGGATTGGGCACAAGTGCTCTGCTACAGGGTGCATTCTGCAGCCAAGAAAGCAACCTCTATGGGGGTTAAAAACGGACCTGTTAAAAACAGTATTATTCCTGATTTTCCATATCTTCCAAAGGCATATGCTGAACATTTGATTTGCTAACTGATCTTATCAGATTAGCCACTGAAGGTTATTCGAGGACTTCGTAGAGATTTGGTAAAGATATCAACTAGGTTGTCAATAGCGTGTTATAATGGTGTAGAGTGCTATATGATAATAACCAATCAACTTTACATCCCTGCACTTTGGTGAGATAGAAATTTCACTATTTATGTATGTTGTTAACAACATTGTTTTTTTTAGTCTTCACAATAACAATCATCCCACTTTTTCTATATGCCGTTAAAGTGTTTTGGGGTCCAACACATTTCGAGATTAACGACCTAGGATATCAATAAATTGATCTTTAGAATTGATAAAGGAAGTTTTGATGACTCTATAGGGAATCTTTTCTCTAAGGAAACAGCATCGAGATTAACGACCTAGGATATCAATAAATTGATCTTTAGAATTGATAAAGGAAGTTCTGATGACTCTATAGGGAATCTTTTCTCTAAGGAAACAGCAATCGACTTCTATATGTTTTATTCTTTCATAAAAAACTAAATTACAGGAGGGATGTAAAGTTGATTGGTTATCATCACATACAAGTTCTATTTGGCCAACCTCGCTAAAATGCTCTTGTAGTAAATGTTTCAACTATACAAGATCGCATGTAGCATGAGTCTTAACTTGATACTCAGTTTTTGTACTCGATCACACAACAACAATTTGTTTTATTTGTTTTTTACTCTTTTGAGAAATCGAATTTTCACTCACAAAATTAAAACAACTTGAAGTAAGGCGCCTATCTTCATCTGAATATCTAACCGTAGTTGAGTGGCCTCTATTGGTGAACACAAGTTCTTTTTCCAGGTGCTCTTTTGATGTACTTAAAAATTCAAACAGCTGCATTCCAATGACGTCACATGGAGGCTTAAGGAATTGACTTACAACACTAATTGGAAAGATATGCTTGGTCTTGTTACGGTGAGATAAATCAAATTTTCCACTATCTCTACTATCTACCTGGATCATAATGGGCTCCCCATCATTTACAATTTATAAGACATGTTTCCTCCAAAATATCGAAGATATATTTCCTCTAAGAAATAGCAATACCTAACTTTGATTGAGGAACCTTAATCCCAAGAAAAGTAACACAAAGTAACACAAAAGACCCAAGTCCTTCATCTGGAAGTTTTGAAAGAATTGTTATTTCAATGTGTTGATACCCTCATGATCATTTCATATAATCACACTGTCATCAATATAAATCACAAGATAGATATATTTATTTGATGATGACCACTTAAGAAAGAGCGAATGATTTGATTCACAACTGAATTATCCCAAACTTTTGTAGAACTTTGCGGAATCGACCAAATCATGCACATGTGATTCTTTCATATCATCTTAGGACTTTTGTAATATGCATACCAACCTATGTCCCATGAGCAACAAATCCAAGAGGTTGCTTCAAATAAATATGTTCTTCTTAATCATCTATCGCACAAGAAAGCATTCTTGATATCCAATTGAAATAAGGGTCAATATTTCATAGTAGCCATAGATATAAAGAGACGAACAAATGTCATTTTTGCAAAAAGGTATCATTGTAATCATGGTCCTAGACCTAAGTATAACCTTTCGCAACTAATCAAGTCTTTAATCAATCAACATGTCCATTCGGGATTGTTAGGTTTTAAAGTCATCATCTCATCAATCGTGACAACCAAGTGTGAAGAAGACAATCGATGGTAACTCATAGTTGTAAACATGATAGAGATTAGAAGTAGATTTTTTACCTCATATCAACAAAAAGACTGGGGTGGGATCGCATTGGGAGAAAAGATTGGAACAATAGCTTAATTACTAGAATAAATAACAGTTGTCTTTGAAGTAGAATCAAAAGCAACAGTCTTTGGAGTTGAATTACTAGAATCTGAAACATCAATCTATGAAGCTGAATCACTAGATCCAACGTGGCGACACTTGTAACACCTCAGACTGCTTTCGGTCTTACCACAACCATCTCTACATATGTTTTGTCCTCACTCGCAGGCTTTCTGAGAAATTTTTCAGAAGGTCATCCATCCAAATACTACTCCAAATCAAACGCTAAAATGTGGAGTTCTTTTTTGTTAGACTGGAAATAAGATGCGTCTGATTGGTATATGTATTACTAATCAATCCTTATAAGCCTTCCTTTATTCATGCAGTCTCATATATGTACAACCTCAGAATCTCTCTCATTCTATTGTGAATTTGATTTTCATCTAGAAGCTTCCAGGAGATGCTCATTGTCATGCCTTGTGCACTGGTGATCACTCCCCGCCTTCGTCGGTCTCGGGTGTTACATGCCCACTTGATTCGTCCCCGAACCACATCGTAATAGGAGTCTGCTCTAATATCATTTGTAACGCCCCAAACTACTTTTGGTCTCACCACATTAGCACAACCATCTCTACATATATTTTATCTCCATTCATACACTTTCTAAGAAACTTTTCAGAAAGTCAACCATCTAAATACTACTCCAACCTATAAGTCTTCCTTCATCTATGCAGTCTCATACCTGCACATAATCTCAAGATCCCTCTCATTTCGATGTGAATTCGATTTCCGCCTAGAAACTTTCACGAGTTACTCATTGTCATGCCTTGTGCACTAGTGGTCACTCTCTCCCCTCGTCGACCTCAAGTGTTACAACACTCATAAGTAATACCATATCGATAGAACTCAAGTTTTACTATATGACTATGGAGAATTGTAAGTATAGACATATGATATGACTCAAATAAAGGAATATGTATGTCTTAGTAGTAAACTCTTTTATAGCATTAGATGTGTTGGGTGAAACAAAGAATGATGTATCCTAAAAAAATAACATGTATGAAAACATAAAACAATGTGTAGGTGGAAAATAACATCGATACCCCTTTTTTATTTCTAGAATAGTCAAGAAGAAAGCACATATACTCTAACCCGGACATAGAATAGTCAAGAAGAAAGCACATATACTCGAACCCGAACACGCGAATTGGGATGACAACAACATACAAGGGATCCTTAGGAAACAAGAATGAGTGTGGAATCTCGCTACTCACACTGAGGATGACATGTGGTTTATCAAATGATGGGCAGCGAGAATAGCATCACCCCAAACTTGAACAATTGAGAGAGCAAGCACTACTTGAAATCAAATTAAAAAGACAATGAGTTACTAATCACACATAGTTCTAAGATAAAGACGGTAGTTTGGCTAATAGATGTGACTTGTGCCTTATAACCATTAGCAAATGTAATGTAAGGTGTTTAGATGGTGAGAAGGATTACCAAAATTTAAAATCAATTATCAACATAATGAGATAGGAAACTAGTATATCATAACTAGAATGATACAAGGTGAGCCGTGATGAAACTTGTAAAACAACCATCAAACAATGGAAAATAAATAAATCAAGTGTAAACAAAGTATGAAGAAAAGTATTTTCTTTTGAAAATAAAGATGACGACAACAAACTGTAAGTTGAGGATTACCCTCACTTATTAGATCTTACTCAACATTTTAAAACTAACTTATAAGGTTAGGAATGACTCTACTTATAAAAATATATATTTATGTTATGTATTATATAAACATCTAAACATCTAAAGATTGGATATAAATGTTGGATGGTCCAATAATAGAAACGTAATAGGAGATGACACAATAGATCTTGAACTAGACTCTAATACCAACTTGAATTTGAATACTTTTTTATTGATAGAAAATGTTTCAACACCTATTTATATACATGAGATATATATAAACCGAATAGAAATGTAATTCTATCATAATCTCATAATACTAACAAATCACAATACCATAAATATCTCCAAAGGAAACTTTGAACACAAATAGAAACTTGAACTCTCCCAAATATCCTTCATTAGTCCATGACTTGTTGTAGAGGAAGCTTGAGGAAGATTCCTATTCTTTTCCTCACAGATCAAACATTATGCAGATCAAACAGATTATTCCTTAACCCTTTCCCAATGCCCAATGATTTTATCTTCAGGAAGCCTCAATTCTCTGCACAATGCAATTGGTCCAATCCCAATTCCCTAGCTAGGGAATCTAATTTTCACCATCTTAAGCGGAGAAAGGAATATAAGAAATCAATTCTTATATTTCAAACACATTAAAATGCAATCAAATTGATTACATTTCTGCCCTTATAAAATTGAGGACCCATTTAGAATTGAAACAAAAAATAATCTATCTACAATGCTATGAAGTCTCCTAATATTTTTTCAAATCATTAAATTTTACAAATCATTTGAATTATTATTTTTTTTCAACATTATGCACACATGGTTTGATTCAACGTCTAATGAAGTTCCATTTTCTACTATCCAAACAAAATATGAAGTATCACACGGTAAGTGGCAAGTACAAACTGATATCTCAAAAAATTTTAACGTGACTCACATAACAATCTTTGCCTTCTAACCGGTGTCTTGCTTCCCTTGAATCCTGAAGATTACCCCTTATTTGCTCACCACGATACTCAGCAACCTGGAGACAGACACGTGAAGAATGTACATATAGTTCATCAGGGAAAAAACTATAGCAGTATTTATTTTACAATTCAGTGACCATCTTAAGTTAATATGAAATGTTACCATGTCCCCTTCTTGCAAATCTCTACGAGCAAAGAGGCCCCACCCTTGAATAGCTGATTTTCCAAGGCAAACTCTATAATTTTCCGTTTTCTAAAACCCAAAAGCATCAAATGTTAAATGAAAAAATAAATAAATAAAGAGACATTATTTTATTTTAAAATAGAAATGGAAATGACATTTAACTTGGGAAAATTGAGATATTAACTGACCTGTAAGTGGTGAAGGCGTTCCTTAAATGAAGAAAATACTTCAGCAACATCCTATCACAGAACAAGATTAGAACTAAGAGTTTTCGATCAAAAACCAAAAAAATTGAAGTGTTACATTCATAGCTTAGAGCACCAAAACAAGAAGATTACCGTGCTGCCGTTTAACTGAGTTATTGCACTTAAAGAATGAATGTTTGGCCCCCCAAGCAAGTGAATTATTGGCGTACAGTCCTTCTGGCATATAGGGGAAATTGTAATTGAACAAGACCAAAATTTAAGAGATTAGAAAATAATCTGTTACATAGTTTTTGATGCAGCAGAAAACCCCAAGTGCCTATGCATGATTTCAAAGCAGAAGCCTAGAGAAGTTGATAACTTAATATAAAATTATGGCCATAATAGTGTGTGTTAAATTAGTACCTTATTGGGAGACTTTCTGTAAACACGACACCTGGCAGCAGATAGTAACTTGGCCTCATAACTTTCAGAAGCTGAAGGTTCAAGGAGTTCTATACTATTTGATGAAATAAGCTTTGATTCTCTATTGCGTCCCTTGTGATTTTGAAACGAAGTTCTTGGAGAGATTGCCCTTAGGGGTGGATACATAAACACTCCTGAATCTGGATTTGGGACCCTGAAATGAAATTAAAATATAAAAACCGTTTTCCAAAAGAAAACATGGAAAATAAGATTAGCATAATTTGAAGACCAGGTCTCAAACCTGTGAACTGCACAATATATTGAGTTCTTTGTTATTTGAGTTCCCTTCTTCACTGTAGTACGCACCTGTACATTTAAACATTATAAACATATTTTCCCAGCAGTGGTTGTGATCAATATCTGTATGTTTACTAATTTATGGACATAAAATGACTGCTTCCCTCAAAAGAAAAGAGCAAATTAAGAAAAAGTAGCAGCTTCAGATCAAGGACCAGTTTAAATTTAAGTAAAAGGATCGTCATACTTACAGTCATGCTATATCCCATTCTTGATGCACACATCGCATGAAAATATGTCTCACACTTGCAACAACGTGTACAGGAACCATGGCTTTGTTTACAAATCACGCAAGTCTGGCACCATCGTAGACAAGAAACAGAGAAATAATGAATGTGAGAGTAAAAGTGTAACACATCTAGAAAAGGACTCTAATTACTTGAGTGGAAAGCCTTTTCTCTAAGTAATTTTGGGTGATAAAATAACTTCAGGGAATGGAATTACAAAAAATTGCCATGTTTTATCCCCCCAAGAGAGTTCATCTTGGGTGGTCATCAAAATAAGCATGCAAATTAGTTCATCATAGCTGCTGCTAGAAAGAATATTGCAGGCTAAATCACCTGACAACAACTTTAAAAGATAACTTCAGCCCCTATGATTTACCTTCAAAAAGGAATTAGGAGGAATCTTAAGGATTCCAGAAGCAGGTTCCATTGCGTTTTCGTCTTCGAAAGAAACTTCAGGCCGAAACCAAGCGCATGTTACATGAACCCACAGCAACTCAACATCAGTTGGCTTTAGTGCACCACCTGCAAAGAGTTTCCCCCATATTATAAAAGGAAATTAACAATGGATGACAAATATAACCGCTACAGAAAAATTAAAGGGGAGAAGATGTCATTTAAATGTTAAGTGAACAATGCTACGACTTCAGCATAAGCCAAACACAACTTATGAGCACACCATAAATTATATATAAGTTCATCGACACACTGCCATAAGTTCTTATATCATAAAATAAGAACAAATGAGTTCTTCAAGATACCCCAAAAACATTTTTGCTTGGGGTATATAAGTCAATTCTCCATAACTGCCTAAAAATGGGCTAAATGGGTTGCATGCATACATTGGTTAGTCCGTGATAAAGTCAATGCATTCGGTATATGAATGAAAGATTGTCCATTTCTCACTGAAGAATTATTGGCCTGGATCCAGAGGTTACTACCTTCCTCAAGAATCTGGTAAATGTAACTAATAATACTGCAAGAAAATATTAAATGTAGATGACATGCCTTTAACTGGACAGAGGCAACACTCTCTTTCTACATCAGGAGTTTCACACACTCTGCAAACCCATGAACTAAAATCTTGGACCTGCCTTGCCCCATAGCACGCTTGGTGGACTGCAATTTGGCACCTGCACAATGAACAAGTGCACATAGAGTAAATGACTTTTGATTCTTTAAAGTTTTGTAAATCAGAAATAGAGTTTTAACATATCTATAATAACTCTGCAACTAGGGGTGAAAATCATGAATGATTATTAAAGCACCTGTTACAGATGATAATATTGTTAACGTCTTCATCTTCAACCCATCTGCATATCGCACATCTCTCTGTTGTCCATTTGGCATAAACTGGCTCATACTTCTCTGAGACAATAAAGTAAAGTAAATGAAGTAAAGTACCATAAGACGTGATCACATTAAAGAAAAGAAAGCTTTGGCATGTAAAAGTCTATATGAAACACATGCTTACCTTGCAAAAAGGAAAGCACCTGTTTCTGATCTAACTGCGAGGGAATTCCAGCTTGGGAATTGAGTTCCGTGATCTGAATAAATTTGTGTAGTTATTTCAAAAATGAGAAAGAAGAACAAAAGTAATATGGAAATATGAAGACATGATGCACACACATTTGACATTGCAGGACTATATATTTATACTTCAAATTTGGAGAAGTTTAGGGGGGAAAAGTGATGCTGACGGCATAAAAGTAATATAACCATTCTACCTGACAGTTAATACAAAACTGGCAGAAACACAATCCACCAGAAAGATTTGTCACGCATCTAATCTAGCAAGATATAACACATACCCAATTTATTAGCGGTTGCATTGTGCTTTCTACTTTCACACTGAGTCTCCATTTTTTGGCTCTGCAACCCACATGTCGTTCCCATTCTGGCAATGCCTGCTTCTTTGACCCACACGAGCCACACTCACACATAACTCTGTAGTAAAAATTAATAAAGAAGGTACATGAAATTCTTTTTGATTGACTTAATAGTTAATCAGCTAATTTCTTTTATTGGTTTGGAAAAAGATTTAGTCAATGGGGTGTGATAGTAGTAACAAAGAGAGATAAAAAGGAAGGGGGAAAAAGTGGGTGGGGTAAAAAAGAATCAAAGATATGGAGAGGAAATCAAAATATTGTAATTCGACTGTTAAATCATATAATGTAAAAAATTGTTGAAGGCTTACTGATGAAGCCTTGGAAAGTAAATTCCTTTCGTGTGATTGCACACCACCGCTAGCGTTTCAGGTAGCACGGGTTTTTGGTTTTTCTCTACTGACCTGTCCCTAAAGAAAGAACATCAGATTCAAAGAATATTAAGTCAGATGCTGAATGCCTCTACAATTATGCGAAAAGGAAGTAATAGATGACTACTACGTACTTAATTTTTGATTCGTTTGTTTGTGCTGCTGATAATTTACGTTCCTTCTTTCCCTTGCAGTCTGGGCAATGGTATTGTGTATTTTTCAGATCCTGCATCAAGTAGCCCGTCAGTAATATTTTGGACCAGGGGCATCAAACAAGCACAAAAATAGTGAAAGGAGAGATGTAGGACCGTGTTAACATGATAAAATACCTTGAAAAGTTTTCTGGAAATGTTTTCACACTCAGCATGCACCCAAACATTACAACTGTCGCAGCGTACCTAACTCAAGTATTCAGCCACATAAGATCTCAAAATTTTGATTCTATGTGAAACAAACTTGTTAAATCAAGTAGAGAAGTAGAATCTCACCCAATCATCAGCGCCTAAAAGGTGCCAAACCTTTTTGCAAACGCCACAGTATTGTTTTGATTTAAGTAGCTGACAGAACAGAATCATAAGTGTTGAGAATTAAATGTCAACAATGGATATATTTTGTTAAGAAAGTAAGACATCTTAAATGAGTCATTCACCGAACCATTGCACAAGGTTTACAATAATGCGGAGGAGCACAGCTTGAATCCTTAATCTTCTCCATGGTTTTGCATGGCAAAGTCAAACCACAGCCATAACAAAATATTATATCCTGCACGATTTATTCATTGGATAAAATTATGGAACCAACCAGAATCTATAAGGTTTAAAAAATAATTTCATTAGAAACCAAGAAGTATATGACTAAAAACCATGAGCCGTGTTCATACATATATGTCATAAAAACCAAGATGTATGTAGTATATAGCCCTTACTCCTTTCTACTAAAATAAATGTTTGAATAGTACATGTAGACTCTGTCATCTACATCAGTCTATATTCTAATAAACCAAACTTATAAATTCTCAGCATCTTTGTCAAGTTAATGCACAGCACAAAGTGTAAAAAATTAAAATCACCTGGTCTTGGCAATGATATTCCTGACCAGCACAGGAACCCTCACCCTCCACATTTTCCTGAGCTCGGAAATGTGGGTCTAGGATGTCGCTGCTCGCTAACATCGCTTCCTCCATTGCCTTGTGAAAATCGCTATGTCGGCTCTTATATATTCGGGTCTGCCCCTGAAATCTAAACAAGGTAACTTTTAATACGAGCAAGTACGAGACACAAGCCCAATATCTTGCACGAAGAACAACAACCAAAAATCATTCACACATGCATGCACACCTATCCATGAATTCCAAAAAGGGTAATACCATCCCTTGCTTCGCCCACAAATAGTTCTGCCAAGTGCCATCACCAACTGGTTAGATTTCAAACATAAAACCACAATCAAAATAACTCAGCCTTTATATTAAGTTGTTTGATAAAAAAACTTACCCTTTGCTTTTGATTCGAATAACCAAAAAACATAACACAAAGCGCACCAGGAACACATTGTCTGAGAACAGACTCAGGCGCTTGCGAGATGGGATCAATCACCACCGCAGGCCATGCCAGATTACTCTTGCCACATTTTACCCAAACCATATCACCCAAACCAAATTCCTCAAGCTCGAAAACCTCTTCCTCCTTTTTACCCTTCTCATCAAAACCATTTTCACTCTCTGTTTTAACCAACGGCAAACGACTCCCACTCACCGTTGTTTTAATGCTCTTAAAGGACTCAGCATTCTTGTCACAGCCAAACTCATAAAATCCATTATCACTCTCTGTTTTCGAATCACATTTGATTTCCTTCCCTTTTTTCCCAAATCCCGATCCACTCTCTCGCGAACTGTTACCAACTTCAAACCCTAATCCAAATCTTTTGATTCCTCCATTAGTATTCTTCTTCCGTGAATCGAAAAGTACCGAATCATTGAACTTAGTCGGAAGCTTCTGAACGCGACCTCTCGATGATCGCGGCAACAAAGGAGCTTCTCCACTAACAGCATTCAACTCCATCAAAGCCGAATTTGAATTGGAACTGAAATCAGGATCGGAATTGGAATGAACCTCACCACCACCACCGCCACCAGCACTGCAATTGAATCCTTCAGTGGATCCACAGAGAGAACCTCCGATCAAGTCCTCGGTACCACCGAAGCAATTATTCGCTTTCGGCTTCTTCTGAAGCGATGGAGATGCAGAGTCTCTGTCTTCTTCTTCTAGCTTAGATCGCTTCAGATTCTGAATTACAGATTTCAAATCACGCTCGATGGTCATTTTGTGATTGTGAGGAACACGAAACCCTAGCAGAGTGATGATATGGAAAAAAAAAATCCCCAAATCGAACGATTTGTTGAAATGAGAGTGTGAGGAAATGAAGGAAAAAAGAGACCGATGCTGAAATTTGTAAAATTGAATAAAGTAGCGGGTGGTTTTTCTTGGCGGAAAAGGCAATTGGTATTAATTGTAAAATTTCTAGATTCTTTTGTTTTTTTATTTCCCACCACTAATGTGATACTCTTGCATTCGGACGGGTCCGTTCTGATCCTTTTATTTTGTTTAATATTATTATTATTATTATATAGTTAAATATAAAAATATAATATATATATATATATATATATATATATATATATATATATATATATATATAATAATAATTAAAAAAAAATTAAATATTAAATAGATATTTGACTTTAATAGAAATATAAAAATTTCATTCTAACATACTATTTTAATAGAATGTTAAAATGAGATCAAAACTTAATTTATCATATAATAATGAAAAATGTGAATTAAATTAAATAGTCATATATATGCTTAATAGGACTAAGTTGATTGGACCAAAAGTTGGTTGGATTTGTAGTCCAGTAGTCTATAATATAAAAAGTCATTATGTTATTGTTGAATCAGAATAATCAACCGTAAGAGATTTCTTTGTTTTGATTATTCGGGAAAAAACATTGTGAAGAATGGCAAGAGCGAAGTACCTTGATGGTGTGGTAGGGTAGCTGAAATCGCTAGCGCTTGTTAGTTCGGTAAGGTTGTAGTTATGTGTTTGATTGTTAATGCAATGTTAGATGCAGAACTGCCGTCGAATGGACAGAAGTTGCACGTCCTGAGGTCATCGGAAAAGCCAAACAGAAAGGGCAAAGTAGTGTTTCAGCCATATTACTTTTATGAGATAGCAACACTGATTGTATGGTCTTATTTCAGCTCAGATAGCAGTGGGTAAGATTATTTTGTTTCCTTAGAATAGTTATTGCATGTAATTTATTTTGCATGTGAAAGATATGTTATGGAATTGTTGTTTTCAAGTGTAAGAAAAACAGTCATTTGTTGTCGATTATTTAATTGTTAGGGTAAATGTAAAAGTGTTATTTTTTTACCATTTGTACAACATGCAGTTTGGAGGAATTGTTTCCTGGAGAATTTGAAGAGGTTAATCTCATTCAAGTTTGTGTTTTTGAGACATTCAGGGATCACATGCTGGAAGTTTATAGCAGTGAATCTGAAACTGATGACAGTGATGCTGAAGCGTACTCTCGAGTGTATGTGTGGGAGAAAAAGATCACCAACACCTATACAGCTCAAAAAAATATTCTGGTATTAAAATAAAGTAACATAGTATACATGTTACAATTATGTTTATTTATAATACTGTGATAGCTAAAGTTGTTCTTATTGAGTGCAATATTTTCCCAATGATGTGACAAAGAAAATGTTGTTTAGGAACCAAAAAGCAATTGAGTTAATAGATGAGAACAACGGTGATTCCTATTATGCAGAAGTTCACTCTACCAAGCGCAATAAAAAGGTTTTTAAAAATGAGAAATTTATTTCCAAAGGACGGTTCAAATACGTAAAGAGGAATAAGATAAGGAGAGGTGATGTGCTCAGCTTCACAGTTCGGTATCCTTCAAAAAGGTTATGTGTGGAATTGTTGAATCGTTAAAATGGTTGCAATCATGGAGTACAGTGATAAAGAAAAACATGAACGCAAACTAGTGAAGAAGCGTTTTGGTTAGAGAAGAATGTTATTTGGATGTATGATATTTTGTATGTTAGTATCTGATTATTAAAAAGTTGTATATTTTTAAACTTGGATGATAGTAACTATTTTGGACGTTGCAAGTAAGAATGTTGGTTTGTATTGTGTTTCAAAATTATGAAGTTAAGTTGTTATAGTTTATTTAGTATATTAATGTAAGCAATATTACGTTTAATTATTTGTTATTTGAATGAGTTAAGTAAATTGTGAACAGGTTTAGGTAGTATAAGTGGAAAACAAATGTTTAGGACAGTAACGACAAATTTATTAAGAAGGAAAAATTTTAAAAAGTTGTAGAAGAATATTGAAAATATTAAGTGTGAATAATAGTAGTAAAAATGCTAATGTAATATAAGAGTTGTGTTATAAGAAGTGTAAGAGAAAGTGGAATGTGTCCACACTGATTGTTTGATAGGCATGTGAATTGGGTATAATGCTTAATGTTCTGAATTATGCAGACCAGTTGGTTGTTTAAAGAGAGAACGACTTATGCAAGTGTCCCAAAATATAAGCATCAAATAGAATGTTTTGCGTGAATTATAGGACAGTTATATGTGTATATGTAATGAACAAATGAAATGAGATTGTATATGTATTGTGAGTTAAATTTCCGCAGGTATTATATGGAAGTGTGGCATGATTTTTTTGTTGATGTATGTTTGGATTGTCATGCAGGTTTAATAATGGTGATGTAGTTTGCAAGTTGATGTTTAGTTTAAGGTTGAATTAATCAATTGGGTTAATAATTTGTAATAACTTTGTCCATATTTGACCATAGTTTTTCTCATGGCTTGTTTGATGTGGTCCGAAAATATAATGTAGGTGGAGAGATGAAGATTTTAGAGTAAAAACAGAGGGATGACTTCAAATTAAGATAGGGTTATTCTGATATCGAGTAAATGTTGCTTGGGGTGTGAAAAAGATATATGTCTAGTTGAAATGTGTACAATGTAAAATGTGGTTGTAGTGGGATGAAGGCATGGTTGAAACAAATGGTCCATAGGACTAGGGGTGTTCACATCCAATCCGATCAAAAAAAATCGAAAAACCGAATCGAAAAAACCGAAATCTAAAAAAAATCGATTTTTTTTTATGTATTTGGATCACCATGTAGCATAACCGACTGGTTCAGTTCGGTTTACGGTTGGCTTCATGAGAACCGAACTGGTCCAAACCGAACCGATATTACTTCCATTTACTTGCCATTTATTATTTAAAATAAATTAATATCGAATCATTTATTATTATATTCGCTTTAATATAGCTTTGAAATCTTCATTTGTTCACTGTTTTATATATTTGTCATATATTTAATTTATAATACAAATCTCCATATAAGAACTAAGCATATCTCCATATATATTATATATTATAGCCATGTCTATTTCGTTGGGATAGATATTATACATATATTATAATGAAACTTTGCAATAATGACATCAAATAGCCATATGAACATAGCAATTAGATATTGTCTCAGTAGACGTTGGTGGCATAATTGTAACTGGTATTGAAATATATTCTTTTTAAATTTCTAAATAGTGTTGGTTTAAAAACCGAATAAAACCGATTCAACCGAACCGAAGTAAACCGTATAAATTGGATTGGATTGGATTGGATTTTTCTTGTTGTCATCCAAAAACCGAACCAAACCGTATGCTTTATATATTTTTGGATCGGATGATATTTTGTCTCAAAACCGATCCAAACCGGACCACGAACACCCCTACATAGGACCAAATATACTAATATTGGGTTAAGTCATAAGATGAATAAAAAATAGGAAAAAGTATTAGTTAGAAGATTATAATGGGCCGAAGGCCCAAGAATAATATGAAATGGCCCAAACACGATAGCACTGTGTAGTTGAAAAGTTGAACACAAAAGGTGAAGACAAAAGGTTTCACTCATTTTACATGGTACCTTGAAAAATTTTGAACTTGTTTATTATAGTGTTCCAGACTTTAAGAAGTGATTCAGACACTTCGTTCATTTTCATTGAGAAAATGGCCCAGAAATCGATCTTGAATCCTGAAAGGAGATGATGATCGTTGTTGATTTGATGTTACATGTGTTTTTATGGGTTATTTTTCACAAGAACATATATTATGTTGTTACAGTGGTTTTTATTTTGCAGGTACATTACGAAGATGACGGTTGAATCAACATGGGACAAGCTGAGCAGGGAGGGCGTCATTAACATAATGTTGGACAAGAGACGAGTTGCTTTAGAATGTAAGAAACGGTGTGAAGTGGTGATGATCGTTGTTGATATGTTGTTGCACACGTTTTTTATGGGTTGTTTTTCACAAAAAAAAACATATCTTATATTGTTATAATGGTTTTTTTGGCAGGTGCATTACGAAGATGGCGGTTGAATCAACATGGGACATGTTTAGTAGGGATGGCGTCACAAACAGGGTGTTGGACAAGAGGCAGGTTGATTTAGAATGGAAGAAAGGGTTAGAAGTGGTGATGAGCATTGCAACGGAGGTTGATAGTGTTGACAAAAGTAGGAAACATGTTGTTTGATTGTTGAGTGGTGATCGTACAAGTAGAGACACATAGGTAAATGTGTTTTGAAGGAACCCTCCGTCGAGGGTGGAGGTGCGGTTGGTAAGAGAAAAAGTGATCGCATAAGTAGGGATACAAAGGGTAAAGGTGTTTTTGCTGAAAATTTCTGTCGAGGGCGCGACTGAGGTTGGTTTGAGGAAGAGAGACGCCGGTGATATACGTCAATCACCAGAGGTGAACAAAAAGGCAAAGAAATGCAGAAGCAGTGAATATGTAGTAATCAAGTATATGAATGACCATAAGTACTTCCTCTGGATAAAGGAGATAAAATGCGCAAAGACAATTATGAGAAATGTCCTTATAAGTATAGTAACATAGGAATTAAATATTATAAATCATGTTTGTGTGTGTATATATTATGTAATATGTATTATAAGTCATTATGTGTTTATATATGTTATGTAATATGTGTTATGTGCAACAATTTCCGCAAGAAGTAATCTGTAATTGTATGGATAAGGCTTACACCCGTATTGAGTTTCGTGATGCTGGTGTGGTATGAGTTTGTGAAGGAATGATGTATCAAAAATGATGACGAGCTTGCATTCATCATCTGTGAGCGTCCATGCAAGAAGGTTGAGCTTGTAACACAAAGGATTAACGTCACAGTGGTGAATATATCAAGATTCAGATAAAGTGGTTTGAATTCAAG